GGATCCCAAGATCCTGGGGTTATATCACAGCTGAGAAATGGAAGGTGTCAAGGCCAGCTGAAGTCGGAGAGAAATCTTATTTGGGTCAGGGGCCAGCCTTGCTCCTGTCCCTCAAATCACACTCGGGGGGCTTTCTCGGTACATTTGTCCAGTTGTGAGTGGGAGCTTTGGGGTCATCGGAACTGACAGGATGAAACGGTAGGTGGAGCTAGAGAGTCAGAAATAGAAAAGGCGGAGCTTGGTCCTGGGACTGCAGAAGGCCAGGCTGGGTGGTTAGTTGCCTGTGGAAAGGGCTCTCTGCCCCAGAATCTCTGAGCAAGTGGGTTTTTTTTTTAATACTATGGAATCCTGGAATCCCCATGGAATCAAATTTCTGGCACTGGGTGGTTGGCATGTTTAACAAGCTGCCAGTGTAACTCTGCTAGGTGGCCAGGTTTGGGACACACCAATCTAGGGATTCTGGAATGACCTGACTGGGATCCAGGCACTCCATTGAGTGCCCTGGTCTGGATCTAGAGCCTGTGCTGTTCAGAGTGTGGTCCTCAGACGAGCAGCAGCTGCGTGGCATTGCCCGGGAGCTGCTCAGAAATGCAGATGCTCAGGCCCCACCCCAGAACCTACATTCTTTTTCTTCAGGTGATACTTTTAAACAATTATTAGTTCTGCTATTAGAGTCATCCCAATTTTCCCCCCTTTGCCCCCTCCACCCCGTGCCCCGCCCCACGCCCTCAGGCCATCCCCACCCTGGTGTCCGTGTCCATGGACCTCTGTTCTTAACCAGACCCCCTCTGCTGCCTCAGGGCCCTGGGTGCTCGCCGGGGGCTGGCCTCCTGGCTGCTCCTGGAAGAACCGCCCACTCCAGAAGCCTGGCTCAGCTCCCACGTTTGCAAGCCCTGGGGTTTATCTGCCTTCCCGGCTGCAGCTGTACCCCTGGTAGCCTGGGGCCCGATGCACGGGTGCAGGAAGGAGCCCCTCTGGCCTTGCTGGGCTGAACCAGGAGTAGGGCTTTGGCTCCTGCCTCTCCCTGCCTTGGGTATCATTGCTTAGGGGTTTGGCCTGTCTCCCCAGCACGGGGGTGCGCAGTGTCTGCTGAACTGCGATGACTTGCTGGCTCCTTCCTTGCCTGCCACTGCTCGTGACTTGGCCAGGCCTGGCCCAGGGCAGGGACAGGTCACCGTTCCTGGAGGAGTGAGTGGGGAAGAGCTTGGTTGCCTGTCTTTGTGGCTGAAAACCTGACTCGCGCCCCATCAGTCGGCCTTGCCGGCCACGGGCACCCGCGGAGCTGGGGCGCCCAGACCCGGTGTCCCTCTCCATCTCCCATGCCACTCCTCCCAGAATGTCAGGGGAAGGAGGGGACAGGCCCAACTTGTCACACCTGCCTCAGCTTTGGCCAGCTTCCCAGCCCAGAGTCCAGCTTTGCTTACGTCCCTGGCTGGGGCTGGTGGTGGCCAGACTGTGTCACTGTGGCTAGCGCTGGCCGTGTTGTCATTTTTCTCTGAAGCAACAGACACACATTCCCTTCAGTGCCCCTCTCTACAGGTCCCAAGTCCCCAGGGGTTGGGTCTGTTGTCCCCGTCAGCTCAGCCTGTAGGGCACTGGGGTGAGCCAGTGGCTCTGGGGCACATCCTGTCCTGCAGTGTCCCGACGCCTAAGCCAGCACCACCCCTCTTGGCCGCTGCTGGCTCAGCAGCCTGGCCAGGGTCCAGCTTCACGGCAGTGGCCTCAGGGGACCAGCTTTTGAAGAACGGACTGGATGTACCCGAGGTCAAGGGCTTTCTCCGAGTTCTTTATTTCAAAGCCCTCCCCGGAACGAGGGCTGCTGACTGGCTCCCCAGCCACCCGCCTCTTCTGAGAAACGCAACAACAGTGTCACGTGGGTCTGATGTCTTCAGAGGCAGCTGTTTCTTCATGTTCCCGGCTAGTGAAACGCGTCTCCTTTTGAGTTCATGGGTCAGGTTTTTAACGGCTGGGCTTTCAGACAGCCCGATGCTGTGTCTGCAAATTCGGGAGCGCTGGCTGAGGGCAAGTAGGGGTTGGCCAGTAGCACAAAGGGGGACGGGGCTTTTAGAGTGGACGGAGCGTGTCAGCTCTGCGTGCGGCCCTGGGAAAATTACTCCAGCTTTCTGAATTTCGGCTTCTCCGGTGAAAAGCAGGATGGTGTCACCCACAATGCTCAGAGAAGAAGGGCGGGAACGGGCCAGGGACCTGGCACAGAGTGGGTGTGCATTACTATTGCACACTGAGGGGTGTGCACACGTGGCCATTGGTCTGCCTGGCTCCACAGGTGGAAATCCCTGTGAGTGCAGCTTCGAATGGTCGCAACGTCTCAGGTGTGACTACGGTGCTGGGCATGGTGTCCACAGATCGGTCACCCACAGTCAAGCATTCAGTCTGCCGCACGTGTAGCCCCAAGAGCCTGCCCAAGTGCAGAAGCACAGCCCTACGTCGGGAGCTTGACCAGCCTTGGTCAGGTGCACGGTGCCCGGGGCACTGTGGGTGGGCTGAGATCGAGGCCACCCAGAATCCCAGCTTGCGAGGCCGTCACCGGCTCTGTCATCCTGACCTCTGTCCCTGTCTCTGTCCTGGCCCAATGCCGCCGCTTCCTGCCTCCCTCATTGGCCGTTGCAGCGGCCTCTGTGCTTCCTCCCCCTGCCACTGAAGGCTTTGGGGGTGGACAGACCTGGCCAGGGTCAGGTCTCCACTCGGCCACTTCCACAGCACATGACCTTGGGCAGGTGACCTGAAGCTACTCTGAGCCTCAGTTTCTTCATTTCTAAGTTGACGCTGATGTAACTCCCTCACCGGGAGGCGGCAAGGTTTTAGGAGACACATGTATGGGTGACCGGTACAGGTCATGTGGCTGCGGCTCACCCTGTGGTGCCACGCCCAGAGCCACTGTGCATGCCTGGCCTTCCGGGCCCTCCTCTGTGCCTGCGGCTTGCGTCACATCGTCCCTCCCCTGGACAAAGCCTCCATCTTAGTCTTCAGCCAAAAGCTAAAAATAAACGAACAAAACCTTTAAAAAAACAAACGATAACTACAAGAACTCAGTGTTCTCGTCTGTAAAGGGCAGAGGCAAAATAGTTGCCTTATAGAGCCAATGTAAGAATCAGAAGAGAAACTACCGTGCAACACAAGAATGCACCGTACAAAAGGTAGTTGTGAGTCCTGGGCGCTGGTCAGGAACGGAAACTCAGGCGTAGGCGAGTGTCTCTGAACACAGGGCTTGCTTCCGCCTCCGTCACTCTACGTACGGGCTGAGGACACATTCCGGGCCTTCTCTACGCATCGACACCAGGGCCACTTGTCTGCCTACTTTTAGCCGGTCAGTGGGACTCAGTGGAATGCACGTGTGTGTCGGCCTCATTCGTGACTCCGTTTTCCATCTCTGCTTCTTTTTTCCTTTTATTCCTCACTGAACTGTTAACACAGGCAATACTGGGATGGACAGAATGTTCGTATGACCCCAAGTCCACGCACTTAAGCCGGAACCTCCAGTGCGGTGGTGTTTGGTGGTGGCGCCTTTGAGACTCAGAAAGGCTACCCAGCTCTCAGTGAGAGGACCGGCATTCAAACCCAAGTTCATTTTCTGCGTCCACTAAAATTGTAACAGTTGTTGCTCAGGGCTCAAAGGCTGGGCTTCCGAGCGCCTGTTAGACTGTTGAATGACCACAAATAGCTGTGGGGAAAATGAGCTCATTTCTTCTTAGCTTTGAGAGTAGTTATTGCGGGCACCCACGGGCGCACTGCTTCTGGTGCTCTTGTGCTTATGTCCAGTCTCCGAAGCCAGCCCGAACCCTTGGAGGAGCAGCACTGTCGCCCCCCTGGCAGTCAAATGCCCACAGCGCGGGCAACAGCAGGTTCACCGCTGTTCGTAGGGAAAATAATACAAGAGTTAATAAATTATAACACAAGAATAAGCTGTTTCGCGTAATCACGACTGCACGCCTACTTTTGTTCCCCCTCCTTCCCCGCATGTATTTGGTGTTTGGTTTGAAACTTGACCTTCCACCAGGACCAAACCCAGGCCTTGAGAGTTCGAACCGCTGCCTGACTCCGTAGCTTCTCTAGTGAGTGTGAAATCAGAGCAGCTGCCTGTGCATCCTGTGGAGTTTGGGTTGGATGGTCAGGGACATCTGCATTGTCTTGCACGGCTTTCTGCGGCCTGCTGTGCTGTCCGAGGGGGCTGAAATGCACTCCAGCGGGTGTGTCAAAGGCATCACTCGTTTAAACCAGGATTGAATTAACTGCCCAGTTAAGCGATTTATAGAGGAAGAAACCAACCGCCTACGACACTTTCCCAGTGAGGGTCCAGACTTGGGCAGAGCCCAGGAAGGCTCATCTGCCTTCTCTCCCAGCTTCTGGCTTACAGGAAACTGTACGCTTTTTATTCCGGAAGTGGTTCCAGGACTCTGCAACGCCCCGCCCCCCCCAAATCGATCCTGTGAGACACAGGCCTGAACGCCTCACCCATCCGTAGCTCCCCGCCACGTGCAGTCTGAAACCTCGGGGTTCTGGAGCCATGGCTGCGGACTCTGGTCCCCTTCCTTGATACCAACATACCGTTCTCTTCCGTCTCTTTACACACAGCCTCTGGCAACAGATCGTGCTTGAGAAGGGCATTTAAAAGAAAAGAAAGGAAAGGGTCCCGTTCCACCCATGTCTCCCGACTGTGGACCCATCTCCTGAAGTTTCACTGACAGGTTCTGTGTGCTCTGGGAGGGACGCGATGAAGGCATGAAGGAGGGGAGAGATCGGTGGCTTTAGGGTGCTCCGTGTCACAGAGACCCCACGCTGATGGCACGTGCTTGGAGAAGGGTCGCCACAGCCTTTTCCCCAATTGCCTTTCTTACTGAGCCATAGCTGGCAGACCACGGAACCCGCCATGTCCAAGTGCACAGTCCGTGGTGTTCAGGGCATTTCCAGTGTTGTGCTCTCATCCCCATGATCTAATTCCAGAACTTGTTCTTTCAGTAACTTCTCGTGGTTTTGTTTTGCAGATCCCCATAATGAGAGACCCCGGATGGATTCGAAACGTGTGGTCTTCAAACATCAACGTGAGTGAAGGTGCTGCGAATGCCCTAGTTGTACTTTTACCTTTCAGGGTGAGAGACAAGACTCTTGGACAAACCGTGGTTCATTGCCACGGGCAGGTGCGAGCTCCAGGCTGGCACCCCGTCATTTCAGCCGCGTCTGTGGAGCTGGCCTGTAGCCCTTTTCTCCAGTTTGATGGAGCTGAGAAGGTGCTGGTTAGTTTCTAATCCCCTGCATTCTCCCCTAGGCAGGGGTGTGGTTTCGTTGCCTCCCTGATTAGCAGTCACTCAGTGGCTCCCTAGTGTGGACAGGAGAGGTTCCCAGCAGCACCCCAGCCACTGTTACCCCACCGGGTAAGGTCAAGTGTATCCGATAAGATACAAGCAGCTGCCCACAGCCCCTCAAGGTCCGTTAGCAGATTCTGCCTTTTTCTCCTGTAATCTTTGGCACAGGCCCTTTGGTTGGTCTCTGTGACCCTGCTTAGTTAGCGCTTCGAACTTGGCCTTGCCCGTGGATGCTGTCTTTTGGGCTCCCCCTAGACCTCGAGTTCTGCAGCCTGGGGACACCACTTCCAGCTTCCAGACTCTCTTCATGGATCTGCCAGTCTGGGCCTTGGTTGTTGGGGAGGGATATTCGCATAAGCCCCCGCCGGTGGTCCCGGCCTGCTCCTCCAGTCCCTCTCTCCTAGGGCACGCACCTGGCCTGGAGCTAGACTTTCAGTGACATTGTACACCTTGCGATGCCCCACGTACCTTACACCTGAGGGCCTTGCCTGTGGACAGTAGATGTCAAGGAACAAGCTCCAGGGTGCAGGGGTTCACGGGAGGACTTTGGGGCTGGTCCAGGGATGAAGCGATATAGCCTGGAACCCTATTTGTCCCGCTGTGGCCTGTCCTCAGCTGTGGGGATGTAGAGCAAAAGTAACAACATTTAGTCTTTGCTCTTGAAGGGCTCACGGTCTGCGAGGGGCTCTGGAACAGAATGGGGACCAGGGGGTTTCCAGGGGGCACCTGAGGCCTAGTGCAGGGTGGGCCAGAGGAAGCAGCTTCCCCGCGGATGAAGAAAAAAGGCTCCGAGGGCTCCTGGCCCGGGGCTCTGTGCAGAGCAGAAATTCCATTTCCAAGGGGATTGGCAGGGATGGGGCCCAATCAGAGGGCAGGAACTCGGGCCAGCCGGCAGTTGGCGGCTGTTAGGCCTGAGGGCGGGGAGCCACCTCCATTGGGGAGAGGTGGGGCAGGAGGTCCTGGTAAGTGAGCCTCTCTCCTGTGGGTGGGCATGCAGGGGCAGCCTGGGGTGGGCTGAGGCTGCCCCCCAGGGCCAAGCCCCCATTCCCCAGACCCAGGTGGTGGCTGGGGCAGGAGCCCACGAGTCTGGTGCAGCTGCAGCCTCTGGCCCCGGGGCTGTGGGTCAGAGAGAGGCAGGTGGGGCAAGGCAGCCCACTTACTAGGCCTCGCCCAAGGGCCCTGGATGGGGCCTCCTCAGAGAGGGACCGGGCAGGAAGCCCTGGCAAGAAGAGGCTAAATGACAGCAGACTGTTACTGTCTGCGCAGAACTGGGTCAGGAGCCCAAAGCCCTGGTCACAGCTGTGCCACTCAGAGTGAGTGTGTCACTGGGCGAGTCGGGTAACTTCTCCGAGTGCCGTTTCATCCCTCCCGAGCACCTGGGGCGTTCCTTCAGTCCTGAACACGAAGGGCTGTCTGGTCACCACAGGGCTCCGCGGCTCCGCGCAGAAGTGGGTCTGGAGTCAGCGTGGGTGGGCGGAAGGTGTAGCAACGATGTCAGGAAAAATGCCTCTGATGGAGGCCAGCATCATGCAGAGTCTTGAAAGGGCCTGCGTTAGGCGGGCGTGGAAGTGGAGCCTGGTGCTCGTGGGGAGCTGGAGCTCCTGGGTGGTGGGCGTGGAAGAGGGGGAGGAAGCTCGGTCCTGGTGACCAGGGGGCCTGTTCCTCTTTCTAAGGTTCTTGGGCGTGATCCTACAGGTAGTGGGGGTTGCTGGTGGCATAGAAAGTGTTATGTAGGTGATGCTTCCTGAGATCTGCAGCCTTGTTAGAGCACGGTCATGGGGGGAGGGGGGCTGGAGACCCGAGTTCATTGCTGGGCTGGTTGAGTTTGAAGTGCCTGTGGTCCACCCGTGCGGAGGTGTCCAGCAGGTGCTTGGACGTGGGGTCTGGACTGGAAACCCTGACCTGCGTGGGGTCAGCAGGGGAGCAGCGTCACCGAAGGCAGGCAGAGTCCCTCAGGGAGAGCGGTGGCAGAGGGAGGCAGACAAGGGCATAGAGGCGGGGTTCCCGCCAAATTCTCTTCCGTCAAAGTATTTGGTAACTTTTATGCTGTTATTCTTAAAACGCAGGTTCGTAAGTTCCAAAAATGCTTGGTGATAAGGAAACTAGAAATGAAGGGGAGGTAAAACAGAGCAGAAGTAAGACTCGGAGTCTCCCTCTGCTCTTTGTCCCTGTCTCTCTCCTAGTTGCTCTGCAAATGTGCCAGGCACCAGGACTCAGGCATGTGTGTGCTGTGCGTGTGCTGGGTGCCAGGCACTGGCTTCAGGGTTGGGTATGCCACGGCTGGCCTTTCCCTTCAAGGGTTCACTAAACAGCAGAGGAGACGGTATACACCAGGGCACATGACAATGCTTTGTGAGGCGTGCCACTGTGGAGTCACACAAGGGCTCGTTAGGTACAGAGAAGCCAGTGACTAATTCTTCATGCACCTGGGGAATGTTTGGGCACAGGCTTCTCTAAGGGGTCTGGCTTTTGGGTCGAAGAATCCAGCCATGGGGTGCAGGACCCCAAGAAGTACACTCTCACCCCCCCATGTCCCTCCCTGCACACACGCACAGAGTCATTCAAGGCAAAGGGCCCCGGCATCGGCAGGGACAGGTGAGCGATGAAGTTTTCGCCAAAACTCCTAAGCAAGCTTGCCTGTCAGAATATTGGCACAGTTTGTTACATCAAGCCGGGACCACCCCTCCTGCTTGAGGCGTGCACCTTGGAAACACCTTCCACCCACCCTTGGCCACCCTCTGCTTCAACTGTGGCATTTTGAATAAGGGCGACCCTTCTCTGAATTCTGGATTATTCTGGCTCAGTTCCTGGAAACCGTATTTTCTTTATTTCTATTTCTTGTGGTCATTAGGTTTGACAGAGAACTGCATTGAAAATGTATCTTCCTGGAGGGAGCCCATTGTTGGAGGGGGAGGAAGTGAACTGTTTGTCTAGTTTTAAACTTATTTTTGAAAAATTGTATCAGAGTGATTCCCCCGTCTGGTTCCTAGAAAATGGACCAGGAAACACCTGGCTCACATGCAGCTGGTTGCCTCCTCCCGCCCCCCAGTCTGTGCTCGCACCCCCTCTGCACACCATCCTGAGGACCAGCCCCGACAGAGGACGCTCCGCCGATGCCCTGGGAGCATCCCTTGCGCACCCCTCGCCCTTTCTCACGCTCCGCCAGGGATGCTCCCACCCTGTGGCAGTGCGCGCTGACTCTGTCATCTCACAGACGGAGTTTTCCTTGGGGATGGGGAGTGGGTGTGTTGCCCCTGGGAGTGGTGTCCGCCTTTCTTCTTCACTGTCAGGGGAAACGGCTCCCACTGCTGGCCCGTGTCTTCCTGCCCCAGAGCACAAGCGCGGGCAAGGGCCGCAGCCCCTGCAGGTATCCCTGGTGACCCTCCGCGCTGTATCCGTTCTTCAGTCCCACCTCCCTGTGCACTCACCTTCCAGATTTCATTCAACACCCGTTCCACTGACGATGCCCCTTCTGCTGTGAGTTCTGAAGTTCAGAAGTTGCCCTGAAATTTAATATCTGGGAGTAAAGGGAAGATAAACATGTGTTTGTCTGGCCTGCACCACCTGCCATTTGCCCCAGGGTTTTCCTTTTTGTCCAGAATTGTCAATGGAGCTATTTTGTCAGGTGACATTTCCCGGGTTCCCATCTAGAAGTTCGCGGCAGCATCTTTTCTAGCCAGTTGCTTTTTTTCTGCAGTGTGGACCGTCACAGCCTCTCTCACAGCCCTCGTCTGGCATGGGCGAGTGACGGGCAGTACAACAGTGATGTGTTTTGTTAGGACTGCGTGGACAACCATTGTGTGGACAATGATCATTTCCTGTTCAGCAGGTTCTCCTGGTTCCCAGAGGTGTCCCAGGGCCCCGTGTCTCTTGTGCATGGACACGTTTGCAGTGTGGAGCTAAGCGGGCTCTCTGCACTCGCTACCCCCCCGCCCCCACTTCTCTGCCTCCACGTGGCACAGCCCGGATCCACGGAGGCTTCAGACAAACCCGGATACTGCCCCCAGTTCTTACCCCCCAGCCTTTTGCCACATCACCTCTGTGCTGGTCCAGTAAAGGCTGCAGGAGGCCAAGAAGTGGTGTCTCTATTATGTAGGCGGCAGTGCACGGAGCCGTGGTCCAGTCTGGGCTTAGATTAAAATGCCTTCTTCACCTGAGAAGATTCAGGTGGTCCAGGCTCAGACCCCGGTAGCTGACCTCCAGTTCTTCCACGTTCTCCTTGTTTCCGAGACTTTCTTTATCAGAGTTCAGTGCTTATTGATATGAAGACAAGATGAAGAAATAGTGTTATGTATGTAAAATGAACAAACAAAAGGAGCATCACGTTTTAGCATATACGAAGTCTGTCTGGAAAAAGTCCGCCCATCATTAATATAACGTGAATGGGTTACATGACATTGATGAAACCTGGCAGCCAAGGAGAGTGGACTGGAATGTGCATACGTGATCAAAGATGACTTCTCTGTGCTAGTCAAGGGCGGTAGATGCCCTTGAGTGAGCATCTGTACTGGGCGGCTGTTACAGTCAAGATGACTGAATGAGTAGAGCAACAAATATGCATCAAACTTTGCATTGACCTTGAACACTGCTCTGCGGAAACTATTCGGTTGGCTCAGAGGCTGCAGCTACGGGCAACTGGTGATTGGCAGCTTCATCACAACAACACACCTGCCCATGCATCACGTCTTATGCAGAGTTTTTTGGCAAAACATCAAATCACCCAGGTGACTCAGCCCCCC